AAATACATAGATTCATCAGAATTAAATACTTTATTACCTCACATTTTAGAATGAAAAGAGGATAAGATGCTTCTTATCCAAGAGTGCTTGTTTTTTTATTTTTGGGGAAGTGAAAGGTGAGTGCCCAATGATACTGGAGATTGTGCGTGGGATTAGAAACGTGGCCACATGGAGAAGGAATAAATCTGGTGAGAGACATACTTTTCAAGGAAGACAGCCCACAATATTTTAATGTGGCTCATTACACAAGCCACATATGAATATGAACTGAATATGAGCTGAAGCAATGAGTTAATTTTCCTGCTAATTTACTTTCTAAGCATGTGACCGTAAAATCAGTTAAGTGCAGGGTAGTTTGCCATTGACTTCAGCAGACTTTGGCTCAGGGTTTCAGCCTCAGGTTCATCCTGCCTGATATCAAATGTCTTCCTAAGACTATTAAACCAGGGAATACAGTTTTCCTTTTATAGTCAGAGGATACCTGCACATTACAGTCAGACTGTAGATGGGATGCATTACTCTCTGGAGTTGTTTCTGTTGACTCCAGGAAGTTAGGCTGAGCAAGCTCTTATTTGGATGCCTAAAGCTAAATAGATTGAAAGTGAGCCTAATTATATAGATGAAAAAACTATTCCTCTGATGATATATGATTTTAAAATTAGTGATATGCATTTATCTAAAGCAAAGTTTAAAAGTTTGTATTTACCATTTTACTGGTGGGTAAACTATCACTAATTTCAAGAGTAATTCCCAGTGCTTAGTATGACTAATACATAGTTATGTAGAAGCAATCTTTTCTATAATTTCCTGTGCATTAAGAAAAACATATACAATTATTAAAAGAGTACTTGTTGATTTAGTGCAGATAAAATATTTGTGATCAAACTGATCCCTTCTTTGAAAAACTGAGAAAATCTTCTTGAGATTCTTCCAAGTACCAGCTTAACCTCACCTTAAGCAGAAAAGAAACCACAGTACTTATAGCTCTGTCCTTATCTTCCATCTACTAGGTCTGTACTAAATTCATTAAAAAAGTTGTTTTCACAGAAATAAGGCACCTTAACTTTGGGCTAATTTTCAGGCTATATTAATTCTCAGACTGGTTTCATTTAAAAGAAATGATGTATGTTGTGCACTTCTCCCACAGTATGACTTAATCCTTGACCACTGGGAGGTCATTTTTTAAGGTCCAGAGATATCCATTTCTCCATATAGAAAGAAAGATGACAAGTGCAGGCACTGCAGAGCGACCTGAGCCTATTTTAGCAACCTTCAATAAAGATGACTTTTCTCTTTGAAAAAAAATATGCCCATATCAAAACCCTCTTGCTTATCTGCCTGGCTCACAGCACAAAACCCAGCTAAATTCAAACGAGACAAATCTACAAAGGCCAGGAAACTGCGGGCTATGAAAATATATTTTCTTATTAATCACATGTTTGACCAAAGCATGGTTTGTTTGACTTGTACTATAGAATCAAAGATTTTCCTCTGTGTATGAAACTCATTCTTAAGCTAGTAACTGGAGTCCTTGAGTGGAACTAGCATTATAGCAAGCATTATATCAATATTTTTCTATGTAGGAGGTCTCTCATGTTCCCTCCATTGCAGAATAAAATAAAATCCCTGCCCCTATCTAGGCTGAGCAACATTCAGGCCTACAAACAAGGACAGCGTGAAGTAAACGAGACAGATCAATTGAAAATTCTGTTAGTAGTAACCAGAGTGGCTCTGGGCTGAGACTGCTGCATTTGTAGATGACCAAGTAATTTTGGTTCCTATAAATTTAGAGAAAACCCCTTTCCATCTTTTCACCAAATATTACATAAATATGTGCTTTTTATGGAGACTATTCTTCTTAATCTTTGAGAGGGAAAATAGTTCATATCCTGAACCCAGCTGACTCTGAAGGATTTTATGCATTTGGTATTCACTGTACCAATATATCTTATTTTAAGAATGCAAGAATTGGGAAATTACCTTCTAGACTGAAAAAGGAAAGAAGTCAGAATTATAGCTGAACCTTAAGGTTGAGACTTAACATGGTGGCTCTAAATAATTGTGCTGTTCTTTCTTTCAAAATCCTATCTGTTAAGGAAAGCTTAGTCCTAAATGAATTAGGAAGAGTACAAGAATGTGCATGATTCAGTCTGTAAAGAACATTCTTGGTCTCAAATGTTCTAAATATTCCAGAAAAAAAAATACATTAATATGAGATTACGCATTATAGCTACTTAATCCTTAGAGAGTTATTTGCAGCTCATGACTTTGGAATGAATTTAGAAACAGCTCATATTAGACTGTATTGTTTCATTCCCCCTTAGTAAGAGTCTCTTCTCTTCTTACAATTACTAGGATTTATTTTCTTTGTTTAAAAATAGGACTTTTGTCTCACTTAAGTTCCAGCTATTTAATTCCTACTTCTAGTCAAAAATCCTCCCTGTCATATTACACCAGTCTCTTGGAGTCCCAGATGACCGACCTGTGATATCCCAGGAATGATTTTGACTTCAGAAGAAGAGACTATTTATTCTTACAAATACACTTTATATACTAGAATTTAACCTCTCAGAAATGTACAAAGCAAGGACAGACATTTTTCAAGGCACTAATCAGGCACAAGTTGCAAAAGTTTGAGATTCCTTGTTAGGTCTTCGCACTAGATCCAGGCTGTCCACAAAACTAAACTAAAATAAACTAAGCTAAAGATCATCTTTACAAATAGCCAGTGCTGTCAGAAAAGAAACTTTGAACTTGAACTGCTTTCAAACCTCTCTTTTAAAACAAGTATAGTATTATACTATTATTTCATCCATCCACTTATCCAAATGTATTGCTTTTTTTTTTCTTTTTCCTGAAGAAACATAGTGTTTGAAACAACAGTAAGATTTCAACAAGAATCAAAGTGATTCCTAATGAAATCCATTCTCACCTCTACAGATGAAAATAAAATCCTTTCTTGCAAGCATTGTTCTATAATAAGCTGCATATATAATCCAGCTGAGAGAACTGTTTGCTGTAATGTCAGTCAGATTAAAAAGTAAGAGTGCATATTGATTACAAAAGAATCTATAGCAGTGAAGGAAACCTCTTTTGACTATTTGTCAGGAAACAAAGTCCTCTATTATTGTCTTAGTGCTGAACTGACAGGACAATATATTGGGCTTTATTAATTGATATGGGGTTGTTGTTTTGTAACACCAAATCAAAAATTCTAATCTTTCCTTCCATATGAGAAAAGCATATCTTTATCATTGTAATATTTATTTCAAAATCTCAACCAATTTCAAAATAGTGGATTAATTTATAAGAAACACTGTATTGACTTTTAAGCTTGAATTTTTTTTTCATTGAAACTACAGAAAGCATTCTCTGTTTCATGTGATATTTTATTTCATGTGATTTGATGTATGTGATTGATTGTAGCCAATATAAGTCTTCTTTACTTTGGAACTACACTCAAACATTTTTTATTCTTTTTCTCTCCATGCTTTCAAGCATTCCTCAAGGGAGCAGCTTACAGACTATGGTATTGATGGTGTTCTTCATCTCTTTTATGAGAACTTAAACAGAAGCTAATATATATTGAAATTAAGCATACTATTGAAATTCAGAAAAGAGATCATTCCCAGGCAGCAGTATATATTTGCTCTTTTTTTTTTTCTGATTTATCTTGCTTCTATGTTTTCTTTTGGATTTCTTCGTCATATGCCTAAAACTGGTTATCAGAGCAGGCTTGGCCAACAGATCTTCAAGTGTATTTACTTTAGGATTCCTCTGCAAGACCTCTGTGTTATTACTAAGATGAAACAAGTGTGTCTTAGGAGGAATAAATACCTCCCGATATCTTGATGCGAGCTCAGTGATGAAGATTCCGTGTGTTTTCAGCATTTTAATCACAAAATACAAGGAGCTCGTTTTGCTCATCGGAGGCAGCAGAAGGGCTCCAGGCGTTATATCACCGTCTTCCCTCGAGGCCGCAGAGCTGCTCCGAGCTCATCCGATGCTGGCGAGGTGCGGAAGGCGGCGGAGCGGGGAGGAGCGG